GTGTCCAGCCACTCAGCAGGAGAACGATTAGGGTTCTCAACCAAAGCCTTCAGTTGTGACAAGAACCTAACCGCAAGGCAGCGGGTGAAGCGAAGTGAAGGCCCATATACTTGGATCGAATTCTTCCACCGTTTTTCACCGACTAAAACGCAAATTCCAGTCGAACCCCCAACCTGAAGGACCAAGAGACTGAACTTCGTCCGACTTCTATCCATTGACCTTCCAGGCATGATAAGATCTCCTGGTTTGACAAAGGCCATCCTGTGTAGCTCGTTGGGTCAAAGAGGTGCGCAAGCCATCACCACGTCAAGGTGCAGTTTCGTCGTGGTGGCATGGTTGAGACAAAAGGAACGAATCTTAATTTACTCTATGTGATTACGAGATTCTACATGCAGTCTATCCATCAATGATACTCGTGCATTTACGCTGTAGTGCTGCTGTTTTCCATGTGCGGCTATCACACTGCTTGCTCCTACACACCCACGCATAAACCGTGCCTCTGGCAGATCGCAAAATCCGCACTGCCCGCGTAACTCATCCCCGACGTGTGCATCCACATGGACGCTGCCGTTCTAGGTTTGCGGATGAATGGTCTCGCTTGACTTCATTTTAACCCAACGTCTGCTCTCATATAATTTTTTGGTCTGTCTAACATGTTTATATGATTGTTTGGTTTTGCACACTAATTTCTCAATTTATTCCACCGCGCAACATATTGAAGTTTCATGTGAATAATGGGGGATGTGATTCAGTACTCACATGCAACAAGTAGTCAGGTCCGAAAGCTTCCAACTGAGTCATAATCCCGGAGACCAGTGCTGAGATGATCGAGACGCGCTGCCCGCAACCAATTCTCAAAGAGGGGTTTCGCGATATCTTGTAGATGGAAAATAAAAAACGGTCTAATCAGCTGCTCGGTTGCTGAGTGGGTAGCGTGGTTGCGTTCTACCTGTGAGGCCACGAGTTCGATCCCCAGTTGGGTCGACGGATTCACACTGCGAATGAGATCGAGCCAGATTGAAACAACTGTTCAGTGCTTCCCGGCTTTTCAGTTCACACTCTATACACGACGAATTCCTTCTATGAGGTTGAATTTTTCTTGCAAATCCGGGCAACTATAGGGATCCTGTGTGATTCCTCAGCAGTTCACATATTACAAGGCTACTCAACCGATTGCATGAAGTCAATTCTGTATAATTGCCTAGAGTTCTAGGTGCTCCACTCCTCGTTGTATTTGTCATTCAAAATATATTATTGGCCCACAACAATGCACCCCGTATCCAATCTGTACATTTTCCATAAAATGTTCGCGCATACGCTCATTGTAAACAACCAACTGATGGAAAGTTTCGTGCCACATATTCCTAAATAACATCTTTATACGAACAAAGTTTACAATATTTTTTCCACTCGAATACGACTTTGGCAGACTGTCATTTCGGTTCAGTTTTTACAACCAGTAATCATTCATGACTTTCGTACGCCGGTTTTGGTTGCTGTGTCCTAACTGCCCATCTCTAGCTGAGGGAGGAAAGGGCAGATTGAAATGTTCAAATCACTGTCCGGGTGCAAATCAAGAACTCATGATCTCATTTAGGCACAACAAACGTAGTATCTGGACTAAATGCAATAATTTGCAGTTTCCTATCGTCTCGACTCGCCTTTTGTCAGTCTTCTTTCTCAGTTTATCTGATTAATAGTAATAATGCTAAAAATTTAGTTGTTTTACAGACGAAAATAAAGACGTTTTTGAATGGACTGGTTTAGGTTTATCTTGTTTTTCTTGTTCGTTGGTCATATTGAGTTGGATTAGTTTTTTTTTTCTCTCTCTGTTTTATTCTCCGTGATCACTCCAATCACAGGTTATTTCTGTACAGAAATACTCGCCCAAAGGAAACTGGCTAGTCGTCCCCAGTCCGTGCGAACAGATGCACGAATCAGTCAGGCGGCAGACGAGGCAAGTGCCGAGATCAGTTCCGATCTGACCGCTTGCCTGGAAGTGGCATGCAACGCCCTGGGTTTATCCAAGCCTCCGAACAATGTGTCCGTATCGGAGCTGTTCACACGTCTGATCAACACAGTATGTGCTAACGCTTCGTGCATTTATGCATTTGGTCGTGCACTCGTTGTTTCAAACACTCCTGTGCGCTAAACGGTATACACTCGGTGATCACGATTAGCTACGGTTCGATTATGCAACCTGGAACGTGAAGTAGCAAAGCGTATAATATCTCCTCCGTCCCTCCCTCAATCGGGTTGATGTGTTAGATTGGCAATAACCAAGCTGCTTACCGTTCAATCAGTTTCCATGCTTCACCTGAAAAATTGTAGCAACACAACAATGCTTGACGTGTTACTTGCACACTAAAAGCATTTAGTGGAACAGAACTGTTGTTTGGTACTCCACTCTAAATTGGATAGCAGCGAGAGAAGTAAGCGAATATGCAGATAGGCTTTGCCACTTAGACAGTCGTAGAGAGCGGTTATAATGGCTATCGCTGATGTGCACCGAGTTTTATGATCTAAGGTCCAAACCCTGCTACCGTCACGTAACTTTGGTGCATCCAACCAATCGCTTGATGTGTTTAAATGTGCTCAGCTGATGATATGCTCTGACAATCAACCCCCTATCCTGATTAAGCAACCGAATATCAATTTTATTCATTTGTGATTGACTCATTTTCTTTAGTTATTCCGTCCACATATTCCTAGTTCCTCTCCTTAGGAATTGATTCCTGCTCATTTCAAAAATCTCTAATACAAAAATTCTTGAATTATCAATGCACTGAAACCCTCGGATGATCATGTACAAATTTGTGTTGGAGCAGATGCCATCCGAGTGAATCTGTTTTGGAGTACTAACTAAGGGGATGATGCATCTGTGATGAAAGTTGGTTTTCCTCTTGTTTTACTCAAATACTTCTCAATATTTATCAACAGACGGATTCTTTTTCAACGAAGCTTAAAGATACGAATGAATTTCGCTCTATTGAAACGGAGGCAACCAATGGAAGTGGTCAGACGGTTATGCTCTTCTTGTTTATTAAATGCACAATTTTGCAATCCAATTCCCTGAAGCGGACCGTGAAGAATCAAAGGCATGAGAACTTAGTGGGCCGTAGGGGTATTGGAACTCATGACCTCCGGGTCGGTGTATTGGTGGACATCATCGAATGCGATTCAAGCTAACCTTTGACCGGGTAACGGTACAACTTGTTTGCTGAATAAACGTCTCTTGCTGTCCCACAATTAGCTGTTCTATTAATATTCATAACTCGCTTTAGCCACGTGACAAATGGGCGCGATGGTTCATACGTTTTCCCTGTATCTTCCGCACTCATGGTTTCCGGTCTCCGCACGTGTTTTTTTTTCAGTCCACTGAGGCGATTAAACGGTGCCCACCAATGCATATGGGTCAACCCATGATTCCCCTGGTCGGATTGTCCGATCGGCAATGGTCTCAAATTGCCCGAATCGCTGCATTACTACAGCAGGAATACGCCAGTCGTCGTGCTACTTTACTCAAACGTTTGGATGTGACTGTGCAAAGTTTCAAGTGGTCGGACAAGGCCAAAGTGAGTTGCTTTCCGTTCTGTCAGTCGATTGTTCAGGCTTGGTTCAGTTCTTACCGTGGAGCAAATTTTCACAGCAGTATGTCGAAAGTCTGGGTTCTTTTTACAGCCTTGTCCCTATTTTGACATATGATCACTTATAGTGCCAACTGTTCTGAAATGAGGCCAGTGATTCACTTGTTTGTCATTCAATCGCTAGCAAGTGTGAAACATATTGGTCATGTTCCTGTTGTCAATTCGTGTTCAACTCATCTGCACAGCTGGCTTCCGGATCGATAATTGTAAAAAGAGCATGGAGGCAAATTGGAGACGATAACTCTAAGTTACTTATGGCACTCAAAAAACAGCAATCACTCGAAACGACCCGAACGGAACCATTTTTCAGCACAATATCGCCGTCACACATGACTCATATTTAACAGAATGTCGACTATTATTTCACCGTATCAAAACAATAGTGTGACATGCGCTTAGCCTAGAATGGAACCCAGTAGAAAACATTTGGGTTATACTTATCCGAGAGATGTAGCAAAACAGAAGAATTTACATCACAAAACACGCATTCGTGTCAGCTTTGAGTTGGGAGTGGAATAATATCATTGGTGACATTATACGAAATACTGTACGGATTATGCCGAGAAGATATGCAGACGTTTGAATTCGGAATGTCCAATGTACTCAACAGTAAACTAGCTTCTGTAAACAGTTCACGAGGGGGTGCAATACTTTTGTCGGAGTGAAAGTAGTTGATTTTCCGATTTTCGTTACAACAGAATACAGTTTTATGAAATCTCGTATACCAGTTTTTCATTTGATCACCGTCCATATTATCAGCTCTGGTGATAATCGTGCATATGAGACCGGGGGTAAATTAGAAATCCAGAACGGGGCAATACTTTCGTCGCAGGGTGACTATATAGCCCAATTGCGACCGAGCATGATGCTAACAGGACAATAACGTTGAGTTAGAAAAGGAGGCAATTCCCGTGCAGAAAAGGAATTAGTTACAGGAGAGAGAAAATAATGCTCAAGAAAAAGACCTTGTTGTCTGTTTCACCGTGCCCTTTTGATACTCTTTTCGTTGTTTTTTTGTGGGGCACGGGATTTCATTTTGAAATGTCATTATACGCATTCCACCGAGGGGATTGCATAACTTAAACTCCTACTCTTAGAAATTATTTTGAATGTGGAAAGCTCCATATTCAGTGCATCAAAAAGGGGATTCCCAATCGAGTAATATCAGCATCAAATGAGTGGTAATTCTGATGCCATATATCATTAAGTCAAATTAAGAATACCACTTTGTGACACTTCCCACTTCTGGTGATTTTCCGACGATTCATTTGGACCGGTCGGATCTGAAGAGTGTTTTCTTTCGTTTTCGTTTTGTGCATAACAGCCCGCAAATCATGTAGCTATCCATTAGGACGAGTTTTGATAAAAAAAGAACGCGGAATCGTTAAAACGTTCCAAAATATTTTCGCTTGTGAATATACTTTGGGTTCTGTCATATTTAGCAGATTACATTATACAAGATAGAACATAGGGACGCTTGCTTTCCTCGGTCTCAAACGAATCTGTGATCGTTTCACCTCCGTTTTCTCAACTCGTCAATAACAATCATAGCGCAGTGCATTCTTCTCATTGCACATATGTTGGACACACTTGAGGTCCTATTTGATAACGCTTCCAGAGAACACGCAGTTCCTTATTTCCTGTTCCGAACCGCTGTTCATTCTAAACGCTGTCTTTTTTCTAATGCTTTCTGCCTGCCCGATGCGCGCGCGCGCCCACACACTAATTGTTGTGTAGACTCAACTGGAGGCGATAGCTGCTGTCTACAATCCACTGCGCACAGCCATGTCAATATCGTACTTCCCAGGTATCCCGGAGCTGTTGGCCGTGCGTGATAATATGATCTTGCGAATCGAGAAAACAAGCGGGGTGACTGCACGCCAGTTCACATCGTGTGAGCTCAATAAAGTGCTTATTGGGAAAGTACGTCAGTCCGGTTGGAACAGTTTGGTGTTTCATGCTTGTTTTATGCGTATTCACGGTTTTTTCGTGTGCTCTTTTCTTTAATTGTTGGTATGCGGGGAGGAGCTCTAACAGGTACTATTTTATAATCAACTTCTTGATGTCTCCGTTCCCGAACACACACACACATATATATATATTTATATGCATATGGTCGACACAAACATCATTGGCAACGCCGGGTATATTTGTTTGGACAGCCTTTTCAGAATCAGTCCATTTATGAATCACTACCAAGACTTTGTTTTGTATTAAGGCGGGTTAGGTGCTACTAACCGCCAAATCGGTCTTGTGCTTAAAAAGCAATTTTGTCGAGTCATTGGTATGCTACTGATTGTAATATATATATATATATATATATATATATATACCCGGTGAAACAAACAAGATAGGCATAGGACGGGAAAACTTCTCAAGACAGTTACAGTGATTCGGTGCTTGGGTCTGGTCAATGGCCGCTCAAAATCCGTTCGCTCGTTTCTGTTGTTAGAGAGCAAAGATTAACAGAAAAGTGTTTTCCATTTGTTTGGTGTTCCACAACTGAACTGCTTCTAATCCGCGTTAGCTGAATTTTGAAGTATGACTTACACCGGTACGAAATCCGTGTTATTTAATTTTCCCAGCGGTGAAGATATTTCTTCCCGTTGAAGGTTTCAAATTACAGTTTTGCAATCGGTGGTATGTCCCATATGTGGGTGCCTTTTGCCGGTTAGATCTTCCAGTGAAACCTAATGCAACCCCCTTATCTCAGTGTTAAGTTCCTCTTATAAAGCCGGGAAATGAAAATTCGGAATGCGATAGAGAAGCACACACTATATCGTTTCTAAATCCACGTGATACGGCGTCTCATCCTGCTGAGATACTGCAAATTGAAAGACGTCACGTAAACTTCACTTATATGCTTGTTTGGATGGACGATTGCAGTAGGACTATGCGCATTGCTACTGGGACAGAAGTATGTCCGTTGCTAGTGTATCTGATGCTCATTTCTGATATCGTTTTAATCCGCTTTTCGCTGCTGTATCACCAGGTTCCTGATCGAGGAGGTCGGGCGTGGGAACTGGAGCCTCCGCCACCAGAAATGCCAAGCTTCAAGCAACGTCAACCGGAAAGAGGGCGTGGTGGTGGTTATGCTGGAGGTGGAGGAGGACATGGTGGCGGAGGTGGGGGTGGTTATGCTGGAGGTGGAGGAGGATATGGTGGTGGTGGCGGTCGACCTGACACTGGTCGTGGTGGAGGTGGGGGCGGTTCTGGCCGTGGGGGTGGTGGACCTGGTCGAGGTCGCGGCTACGGTGACTATCCAGGTTAGTGATTTCCCATCCACCGTTTTGGGAGCCATTGTGTAAGCTAACTGTACACCATTAGTAACACGAATCTTCATAACTGGCTCGTTAATCTCGATCCGAATAGGAGACGACTCATTGCTCATTTTAACACTGGGACTTATCAACATGTTTTTTTCATAGATATACTTGATGTATTTTATTTATTTCAGTTCAATCTTACCAACCCGATCGTATTCGGAAAAGGGGTACCGGGACCAAATCTACTTTTCTAGTTACACTCATATATGCTGATTCTTCGGCAAAACGGTGGAAGTCAATTTCCTTTTGTCATGCAATCGAGCGCAATGAGATTAAGGCAAACAGAAACACAAATGCAAGTAGCTGCACACGAAATGTGACATTCTGAGTAATAGGAACGAACTAAAACATCTTGTGATAAAGTAGCCGATCCGGAAAAGCCAACGAGTTGGTACGAATACCAATCACGGTGTCGTTGCATGACACTCTTGGCTCCGTCCTATGCTCTAGGTCTTGCGCGTGTGTGTGTGTGTGTAGAACAGAACCCAGGAAAGCTTGACCCCTATTTTAGCTAACTATGCCCACGACCCACTACTTGTAATCCAACCAACTTTTTGTCTGAAACTGGCAGGGTGCCTACAAAGTGCCTGATGAAAAATAAGCCATACAAAGCGGATGGTGTTGTAAGTTCATCTTTATTTCCATGGTAATCCCTGTGCAGTGACTATTGCGTCACTTGGCTACCCAAACCGGAGGGAAAGGTTTAGCTGAGGGATTGCACCCTTAACCATCCATCGAGTAGTCCTACTCACATGATATCCGTTGCTCGATGTTCGCAATCAGCTATGAGCTAACATCTAGTTGGTTGGCTCATCAGTTCTTCTATCAAGCTTCGATCATCCAGGGTCCCATGTACAACCGGTCTTTCAGCCGAACCGGTGATTTAACTTCAGTTCTCGCGCCTCATACTGGTGACTTACGATTGACATTTTCCAACTGCCCAGACGCGGTAGCTGTTAGAAGCACGCCAATCCGGCCAAAGCCCCAAAGTTTGGCTTCAAGCCGATCGCGTAGCAATTGGAAACACCATTTCCAGACCTGTGCAGTGCTGACCTTAACTGCTCAACCACCACTAACACCAGTTATCTGGAGTGTATACAAGCGAGGAGAATCAACTGAGTTTTTGATATTTGTACTTGCCTTCATATACCCTTTCAAGATCGTTTTTTCTTCAGCAAAACTTCGGCTGAATTGCAAACCTGACAACCTCTTAAGGAAGCCTGGTAAAACTAAATGTGGCACATGTACTACTGTAGTAAGAGTTAATTATCCATAAAAATGGAGTCTATTCCATTAATTAGTGACCAACTCCCGCCAAATCAAACGGGTTGTCTCCTTTCACTGGCACGAATAGATAATCAGTCTTTGGCTTGGAGCTGGTCAAATCTGTATGAAGAAACGGTGCGTTCATGGGTTGAGTTTTCTTGTGAATGAAAGCATCTCCGATCAAACGACACCATGATGAATCCTCTAGCCAAGATTTTTCCTCATCGTATCCATCGTATTTACCATATATGAATAATGCACGTGGTGGAGCGCGTTTTTTCCTATCTACTCAAAGCTTACTTGGTGATGTCCTTACACTTGTTCGTTTGCTGTAACAAACGTTTTTCAGTGGACTTACTACCGGAGGGCAAGATCCAACATTAAACAAGTTACCGTTGTATGAGTAGTGATATTAGTGATGTTTGGGTCCTGTGCTCAGATATAATAATTGTCCAATATATTTGGCGCACACACGATGTTCTAGTTTGATCTTGATCCGGATCTCATCAGTTTATTTTTCAAAGCCTACGTCTATTTACCGTCGTGTTGTTGTTATCCATTCATTTCTCAAGCTGTGATTCCGCGTATAAAACTTTTCCTAACTCGGCTGGTAATGGTGCGCATCAACAGAATTGGGATTGAGCTGACTGGTTCTAGTATCTATCTGTTGGGATTGATTATACAATGGGTCTGTATGCAGCTAACGGGTGACGTGGCACTAGCGCATTAAGACCGCGAGAGCAGTTGCTTCTCATTTTACTGGTATGTACACCGATGTGTAGCTTCATAAGGGGTTAGTAGACTGCGTCCTTTTTTCTTCGACAGATCGATTCATTCATGAGAAGTCGAATCTCAAGGGTTTCGCTAACCTGTCCTACGATCCCCATGTGGTCCCAGTCAGAGTCATATTCCTCAAATGATGATTTTAGATAATCATTATCTTTTTCGTCATTTTCGTCGATCTTTATACTTTCGACGAATGGCCATAGTATACTGTCTGGGTCCTGGTGCAGGTTTGCTTTTCATTACCCTCGATGAGTAGCTGTAATTCTTGGATACATTATCGTAATTTGTGATCCGTTTTGCATGTGTATTCCTGTAGCCTCTTAATTTGAGCCCCCATTTGAGTACTTTTCTTCCGTAGTTTGACCCTCAAACTGGCCGGTTATGATCCGGAGTTCGTTCCACCAGATGGAGTACCCTGAACCGTTGCGCCGAGACGTGATGTTATATGCGAACTATCATCGGTGTTTATTTTCATTATCCGTTTATGTAGTTTTAAACTGCTCTGAAACCATACTGAAATAGTGTCTGTAGTCCTGATTTGTGAAGCAAACCGTATTCCCTTCTGCCATCTATCTACTTAGTTAATTTTTGTGCATCCCTCAGGGGTGTTCATAATCCATAGGATACGTTCAAGAGGGGGTTACCTGAAGAAACCGCACTTACTCCCCACCCGTCTCCCTTCCGAATTTTCGGTTTCTTGTTCACTCAGGTCCAAATCGGGGTGGTGGAGGTGGTGGCGGTTTCGGCGGTGGGGGTGGTGCCGGTGGTGGTAGTTACGGTGGAGCGTATTATACGGGCGGTCAACAGTTTCGACCACCGGCACCGTCAGCTCATCTGGGCGGTGGTGATTACATCACTAGCCAGGTTGCTATGGATGGCCTAGCTCAACAATTTTACGGATTGACTTTTGAACCCGGTCTGGGCATTGGTCAAGCACAGGGTTATGCATTTCAAGTAAGCTGATTTCAATCATTCAAACCTGATGTTAGTTAATCACTAGACCCTCTGTTTATCCGTTAGTTCTTCTCTTCATTCGCAACGTTCCGTTCACCCTGATGGGCCATTCGGAATTTGCATGATCGTAACGCTCAGCACTCCACTGGGTGACGTAGTTTTCACGTTGCTATTTTCGACACGATCCTCGCTTGATTTTTCTGTTGTTGGTGTTTGTCGTTTGGTTGATCTTTTTGCATCCCTCCGTCACGCGCTTGTTGCACAACGTAGCTGAAGCTATTGCATGCACCGGTTCCTGCTTGCTGTAGTTCCAGTGCACTTGTCTTGAGGTTTCTCAAACGATTGTCTGTGTGTGCACGCTCACTTAACAACTGAGAGTTGATATTCGCGTAAAGGTGATAAAATCGATGGCGTATTTTCAGTTATCTTGTCCAAATTCAAAGCGACAAGCACTTGTTTGTTTAGCTCGATAGAGTGTAAATTGTTTTTGTTTATGACGGGTGCACTTCCTGGTCCCTAGCTGAATATTAATTCCCCTAGGTGGAAACTTCGTTCTAACAGATACATCGGACATTTGTTTCGCAGCATCCTGAAGCACCTTTCTTACTTTTGTGCCAGCTAATAAGCTCATGCTCACGTGATATTCGATTTACCGAGTAATAGATTACGCGCGACAATGAACCGTTGAATAAGCCGGTCGAATTGTGTTTGGACCGCTAGAGTTGATCACCCATTTAAAATCCATTGTAACACTGGTGTGCGTTTTTTCTGCTCAATTACCACAAAGTTCCAACGATCTGTCTGCGCAAGACTGATTTTGACGAACGTTTTAATAAGATAAAAGATATATTCGCGAAGATTTTTCTTCTGTCTCCCGCATCAGGTGGTTCTATGGATAGATTAATTCTGTGAATACAGTTCAAAATACGACTATTCTAGGATTAGGCATTCAGCGAAAAGCTATCAACAGGCCATGATAAAAAATCCGTGAGGAGCTGAAAATTCACCCGTCCTAGTACATGAAACTGTTACTGACTTAATATCAGAAATGGTCAAAAATAACATTATAGAACAACAGCGAAGAACGGTACGTGCTCTCCTATAGTTTCCAGTGTGTTTTCTCCCCACATAGCTATTGAATATTTGAAAACTTTTCACTTTGCGCTGGTCGCGTCTGTTGCGTATTTGTTCTGAACTGAATGGGCCGTTTATCCGCTGTCACCTAATTCAATACCAAAACTACCTTTCGAAGACCTCAAGTAATCTTCTACTCCAAACTACTTGTATTAAATTACAGAATTTCAATGTGCGCGTTTTTGATACGTGTAAATTGTTATCCAAAAAAAATTATTTTGTTTAATTAACGAGTTTTTATGGCACATGGGAAGCGTACCGTCAGGGAAAATCCACCACATGCTCAAAACCCGTGGAACCTCCGAATTCCTAAAATGCATCCACTGTTTTCGTCACCACACCCCACTGCTTACACCATCACGGTGCGTATGATACGTCCGTATTTTTTGTTGTTGTAATTAGTGTTTGTGGTGGATCTCAAACGGGCAAATCATCCCTGACTCACATCCGTGATTCTCACTTGCCTCAGTGGATACAAACTCCCAGCACCTTTCAAGGAACAAACAAGTCTTATCACTTGTGACTTCGTCTTCTGCAAGCAGTTATACTTCCTTTGTCAGTTTGCGAAAGCTGGTTTGTATCGGTCCTGTGTCATAATTGATCGGATAATTCAATTGGAATATGTAATAATTGATTTTCTGCAATGAATCAAACACGCTAAAAGATTTTGTAAGAGTGGATTGAATTTTTGATTAATTAAACAATATGGAACAACTATCGCCCTTAGAGGTAAACCGCTTCCCTTTGGCATCGAACATTTATCGTTGCCCGAATGAAGTTGCATGATTCTCTCAATCCTCGTATATACATATATATATTTAGTTTCTCACTTGTTTTGTTCACCTTGTTTGTCCGTTTTCATCATTCTACCATTGGCAATGTCTTTGTCGCCTACTTCAACTTGTATACAGTTGAACATCCTAACTACCATTGTATTGGAGTATATGTGCCGTTTTTCTGCATTCTTCTTGTTTTTGTTGTGTGTTCTGGTAGAGAACCTTTTGAATCTAAGTTTTTGTTTTTCCGCTCCAGTTTTTGCATTTGCACGCTATTATTGGCTAGTTGTGATACAGCGATTTGAGTCCGACTCTCTCTCCTTGGCGTGCGCTAGCTCATTAGTTCTAAGCGTCTAATCCTGTTGCCCAACGCTCATGGTGAACAGCTTTGCGCTCATTCGACTTGTAACTGCACCCATCCCTTTAGAGCTTTGCATAGTTCTTCACTTCAAGCTCCAGTGTTCAGATTGTGGGTTCATTTAGCTAAATGGCAAATTCACGGAACTATGAATGTTATTCTTATCCTCCTTTTTTTATCGCAACACAGTGTGTGAGTTACAGTAAAACGGTAAATACCCCTGGCCAAACAGCACACTGCCAGATGGAGAGTAGTGGAACATTCACGTGTGATTCAGTCTAGTGATCTGCGTTTAAAGAATATAATTTTGTAAGTTGGAGGAAATACAGAAAGTGAAAGAGCTTTCCAGGACTTGGCATTTTGTTGAGGAATAAGAAGATTGGAGCAGAGAAGTACGATATTTGTGGACTGGAATCACATAAGGATGACTAGATGTCTGTTTACGGCATGAACGGGTAAAAGTTGCAGGAAGAGGAGCTGTCGAGGCAAGTTCCGAAGAACAAAAACCAAAGTAGTAAAGGTAGAACAGGAACAACTAAGCAGCTGCCCGACGATGGACTAGTGATTGCAGACTGAATGTTACAGAAGGATCGTCGATTAACCGGATCGTCTTTCGTTGAACACGATCAAGAAGAGAGAGAAAAAGAAGGCAAAGCCCCGCCCCACATGTGATTGCAGTATTCAAGAGCAGGGCGGATTTGAGCTTTCTACAATAAGAGATGAGATGGGATGAAAAAACCTCTGGAACTGTGTTCCAGACCGGTGATCAATGACAGTAACTGCATTACGATCACGATCGATTTTATTTTGGGCGTGGTGAATAGTGCGGTCGGACAGAGATCTTTATGCTTAGTAAAATTCATGTGGTTATTGTATAACTTTTCCCAAAATATCCTGGATGACAATAATCATCGGTTTTTCACAAATTGATTGCATCCCTAATTAGCCCTCAACGTCACGGTCAGCTGGTGTTTGCAGAGAATGGTTGATTCATTTACATTTTGAGGTTTTCATCTTGCTCCTAATCATCTATCTACAATGGATCTGTCAACCGATAGTCCTAGCGAGCATATTTTTTTACCGACAAACTCGTATGCCTGCACGCCTCCGTTTCTCCTCCACTACTGGTGCACTTTTCTCACATAGATGTACACTTGCATGCCAAATGTCGCATGCCTTTCATTTTTCCCACTTATTGTCAAGCTTCTGGTATTTATTTAACATGTTTTATGATAAAAGTCGTTTGGTTTTTACACAACGGAGTGGTCATTTCGATTTACTCATGTGGTAGTATTATCTGCCATACTAGTTTTGTACCTCCAAAGTTTGTGTTTAATTGGGTAGTTATTTAATGGTGAACTCTATTTAATCGTTCTAGAAACTGATTGATTTTGACTGTTCTTGATGTTATTACTCAATCGTTCATTGTTTCTTTCGAAATTAGTTGAGTTCAACTCTCATCCTGTTTATATAATTCTGCTCTCCCGTCTCTTTCCCGTTCTGGCTGCTGCTGCTGTTGCTCAAATCACAGGCCACAAACATGCCAGGAAATATTAACTATGGGGGCGGTGGGGGTTACGGTGGTGGAGGTACCTATCCTGCACAACGTGGACGCGGAGGTCGTGGGGGACGTGGACGTGGACGCTGATAAAACTAATAATCACATTGTGTTGTCTACGTGCCTGAATCGACTTGTATTGCCATGCTCGATTTCTTCGACTTGTTTCCCGTCTTCTATCCCCTTTTCCGGCATTACAAAAGGGTGCTCCTTAATCCCGGTTCTCATGCGCCATTTTTAACCAGTGTGACACGTATTGGAGGGTATTACCAATCTGTTTTCGCGCTCACGCTTTAGAGGAACTTGAGCGGTCTGGTTTGTCTGTGGTCTCTTTCGCCGTGCTATCCCAGCCCCCACCGTTCAAAGACCAAACACACCGAGAAACCATATCCCTGTGCAAATATTACTTTAACCAGACCGCACTGCTTCATAGGTCGCGTATTCATAGAATGTCTTTCCGTTTGTTT